ATGGCATTCGTAACTAAAGATTGTCTTATCCACCTGGATTAATTTCTAATCCCCATTTTAGAGAAAAAACTATATTTGAAAGAATTGATAGTAAATATGGGGAATCAGATATCGAGTCATATTGCAGTCATAAGAAATATTGAACCACAATTAGGATAATTAGCTAACTGATTGAGACAGAGATCCCAAAAGCTATTACCAAATAACACAGTGGTGAATCCAAAGAACAAAAAAGTGAAGCAATATGCTATTAGACTTGGAAATGGGAAGGAGTTAGAGAAGATTGTTAGGTAAGACCATAGCATATAAGGATCCGAGATTTAGTAAAAAATCTATCTGACTTAGAAAAGAAACCATCACCTTTTAGTGGAGAACAGGAGAAACCATCGCCACCTTTTTCCCAGAGAATTCTAAAACATAAACTCGACTAACAATTTTCTAGTTCTTTAGAAGTGTTTAAGAAGCTTATCATTAACAACTCATTTGTTGAAGCTCTTGAACAGATACTTATCTAAATTAGATTCTTAAAAGATATTTTAAATAAAAAATGTAAGCTAGGAAAATTTAAACCCTAAGTAAAAATTTCATTGTAATTATCTAGAAAAAACTCCCAAAAGTTAAAATATTCATATAGATTTGCCATTCCTTGCACAATAGGGGATATGAACAATCTTTATATGACTTAGGAGCTAATATCAACCTCATGCCCTTATCAACCTTTTAGGAAACTAAGTTTTGGAGAGATTGAACCTAAAACTATAACCCTTCAATTAGTTGATCATTTTTTGTTCATCTTAGATGGGTTATAGAAGATGTCCTCGAGCAGGTAGATAAGTTCATCTTCCTAACTGATTTCATTGTATTGGATAAAGTAGAAGATGCAGAGATCCCAATTATTATTGGAAAACCATTTCTTGCAACTGACAGACAAATATTAACTTGCAAAAAAAAGGATTAACTATTAGAGCTTATGATCAAAATTAATTTTTCAAAGCTATAATTCAATTACTAGCCCTATTTATCCCCCTAAAGAGTGTTGCAGATTTGAATTAGAGAAGTTGCGAGAGATATTAAACAAGAAAGAGATTACGAGATTAAGAGATTTAAGTCTATTTCACAAAAAAACATAAAGTGGGATCAAATAAAAACGATATATGTAATTCTCCAAAATAGCAAAAACATTGAGAGTTTGATAGTGGACTATTGAAAAGGCAATTTGATCGTAAAGAAAAAGCTTATCATAATCTGGTATTGTATGGTTGAGAACAGTAAACCAAGCACTATTTTAGAGGCAATTCAAACATCATCCTGTGGTGTGATTGCATGTTTTGCTTTGGTTCGTTTTATGATATATGTGTGTATTTTTTTCAAAATGAGGACATAAAACTAAGCGCTTATTGGGAGAAAACCCAATGTATCTTCCCTTACTTTATTGTGTGCATGTGTATGTTTTTACTAGTTTGTATCTCTAGAGTCATCTACCTCTTACTCTTTTTGAGGAGCACAATGATTATGAGGACAATACGTTTGAATTGCTTGTGATTCTAATTTTTTATCATGTCACCGCTTAGTCAAGTTTTGGATTAGATGTAACTGTTCATGTTTTGTTACTATTATGTATTCTTTTATATGTTATAGTATGTGTTCACCTGTGATATGCTTTACTTGTTTCTCTAATTTTCATGTGATTTCTTGCCGCTAAATTATTTTTGTGATGTTGTTATTTGCATGTGTAGCCACAAGTTTGCAATCGAGTTGAATATACTGTGTATTGGACTTTCCTAGATACAATTATAAGTTGTGCATGCTCGACTTGAGCTTGTGACGAGCTTTCACATATTGTTCAAGCTCAACTTGTTTAAATTTTTCAATACTTGAACCTAATTTGTCTTTAATTTGTTTATGACAAGTGAATGAGTATTTAAACGAGCTAAAAATTCAAAAAAGTCAATAAATAATTTTACAAATCTAAATAAATGAACAATTTAATAAATCAGATAAATAAATGAACTAAGAAATATGATCTCATCTAATTATATAATAAATAGTTTCTCACAAAAATACATTCAAAGATAGAAAAGAAACATAGAAACAAGAGCAAAAAAATTCAAAAGAGCTTATAATATGTAATAACTCATTACGCAGAACATCTCATCAGATGAAATAATAATATATTAATATTAAATATATAATTAAATAAAATCTAGTTAATCAAATTTAATTTAAATAATATATCTTATATATGAAACAAGCAAGCATCGAGATTCATATCAAATATTTAACAAGTTACTTGTTGATAATAAACTAGTTTATATGTGAATATAAATGATTAAGTTCGACTATATACATACTTAGTTTATTTAATCTTCTAGCTTTTATAAAATATTCAAACTTTTTATTTACTAATTTAAACAAACAAGATTGAGCCGTAATCGAGTTGAGTTCGAGTTGTTCATTGAGTGCATTGGTTGATTTACAGCCCTATATGTTGTGTAGAATAAGTTTGAGGGAAAGTAATATTTATAAGTATTGCCCTTTAAGTTGAAGAAAAATAACTTTAAAATTTATACAAATAAAAGGATATAAGAAGACAAGTATAGAGGTAAATTTTACTAATAAGTAAAGAATTTAAATTAAAGTAATGTGGAAGTTCTGAAGGTGATAAATAGGCTTAGTAACTCACTAATACTTGATTTATAACTATTGTAATACATAATCTATTAGTCAATATTCACTTAAATAACTAGATTCTTAGATAGTCTCTTTTGAAATTCAAACATTTAGGAAAGTTAGGAAAAAATAAATTTTTTACTTTAGATGGGGTTTGTATCCAAAATTAATAAAAATGAGCTTAACTAAATACAGTAATCCTCAATGAAAAGAAGAATAAAAATAAAAATAAAAAAGGTTCATGCATACAAAAAAAAAATTTCAAGAACCTATGAAGAGAAGATTGAGGTTATGCTCAATTTAAAAATTCGTACTAATAAATCTTTCTAATAAGTCAATAGATCAAAAACTTCACTAATATCCCTAAAATTTTGTATTCAAAAAGATAGTAACGTAATTAACATTGTTTAAGTTCGTAGCTAACCATATTTTATGTTTGAAGTATTAATTTCATGATAGTCATACCTCACATAATTAATTTAAGATAGATTATATAGATCTAGTATTAGTATTAGTTAGATTGGGATATTAAAAAGTTGCTCAAAAAATTCTACCAAAAAGAGAGACTTGCACACTTTGATTTATATAGTAACTAAATTATTAGAAAGCAATAAAATTCATAGTCCAAAATCTTTCCCAAATTCAAATTCTAGATTCGAAATTACTTGAGAGCGAGTAATATTTAAGTTTGAGAGTATTTGATAGGTATCAAATGTTTGTAATATTTATATGTTATTTGGACATTTATTTGTATCATTTTGATGTTTTTCTATGGTATTTGTGGTGGTATATGTAGTGTACATGTACGAAGGCAATATGGGGGAGCATATAAAACAAAAATGGATGCTAAGTCTTGGGTTGGCGCCTAGGCTCCCAAGCCTGGCACCACAACACTTGAACCAGCCCAAAATTCAGTAAAATACAAAGAAGATGGAAAGTGAGCGCCACTGCAAGCGCCCAAGTGCCCAAACCTAGCGCCGGGCACCCAACTCCAGAACCCGGATCCGCGGGATTACAATTTGTGGCACTTCATTGGAGTTAATTTGTGTTTGATGGCTTAAACTGAAAGGGTAGATGTCATTTAGACGATAGAAAATGAGAAATATATAGCAACATCAAGAGAAAAAGAGAGCAACACTCAAGAGAGAAAATAAAGTGCAAGAACTCCCTCATTTACCTTCCATATTTGGTCACGTCATTTGCTTAGGGAGTGTGAGTGAGTGTGTACTATCCTTGAGTGAGATTAGGGAAACTTTGCATGTACGTGAGAAATCAAAGCTAAGGAGAGCATTCACTGTAAAAGGAAGATCGTTGTACAGTTCAAAGAGAGAAACTCTAGTTTGGGTGTTCTTTATTTATGTACATTTGATTTTATGATTTCAATGAATTTTTTTTATATTTTCTTCAATCATGTGTAGTAACTTTTGTTGCATGTACGTGACAAAATCAAAACTAAGGAGAGCATTCACTGTAAAAGGAAGGTCGTTGTGCAATTCAAAGAGAGAAACTCTAGTTTGGGTGTTCTTTATTTGTGTACATTTGATTTTATGACTTCAATGAATTTTTTTTATATTTTCTTCAATCTTGTGTAGTAACTAAGTGATGTCATACACTTGTGTTTTGGATGTGTGAAGAATTTTCCTATACTTCCTTGAGATTTGATTTGATATATGTTGATGAGTTAACTTTCCAACCCTCTTTTACTTCTATATTGACAAATTAGAAAGTTCATATCACTTGTGATCTAGACATCTAACAGATGACAATAAGAACCAGTAGATTAACGTACAATAATAAAGTATAAGCTTGTTAAAAATTCCAGATAATAACTACTTGAAAAAGTGTCCATCAAGAACAGGGTACTTAAGAATATCCACATGATACTAGGGGGGTAAACACAACAAAATGACAAAGGACCAGTTTTGTTTATCACAAGTTTTATGAAATTATTTTTCACAGTGGGGGTTCAGTATGATATGATTACGGAAGGGAATAAAATGCTTCTAAGAAATCTAATTACAAAGGACCAGTTTTGTTTATTACATATTAGATATGATGCGGTCTCATCCATCCATGCCGCATATCAAAAATGTACTACCGCCTATAGAATCACGAGTTCAACAATGGAAAATGTCAGCAATTCCACAGAAATTAACAATGACTGCCGAAATATGACTTGAAACCAAACCTTTCCTTGACTAAATTAACAAAAGGGATGAAAAAGAAACTCGTGAAGAACCAGAATAAATTTAAACACCAAAAGAAATGAAGCAACTGCATCAACTTTGAATAACAAACATGAAATATCAGGTAAAAATAAAGGAAAGTACCATCTCTAAGCTTTTTAATAATAACATTAGCATCAGGCATTGTTCCAATAAAGTACCCTCCAGGCCGGAGCAAGGCAGATATGTTGGCCAATGCTCTCCTTGCTCGTGCTTCAGTTGACCATGAGTAGTGCAAAGCAAACTGAAATATTTAATCGTCCAAATTATTGATGAGAAGAGCAACAAATGCATGACAGCAAGAAATTTGCTCACGTGTGCCTTCATTTCATTAAGATTCAAATTTCATAAAGACTCGCCTGACAACTGCATATATCAAATGGGGCGTCATCACTCAGATACTCGTCCAAGTGAGTCTGTCATCAAAACATGATAGGAATGAGAATATATTTCCAATACCAGAAGACCTTCTGCAATTAAGACACAGCTAAAGCTACAATCTGGAAGCTAAAAACAAGTACTTTATGAAGATCAGTGCAACCATATTAATAGCGATTTCATGTTTAAAATGACAGTTATTTAGAGCATGAAAAAAAAAATCTGATTATTATTGGCCCGAAAGCCCATATGACAAAGATTGGGGTTGACATTAGGTTTGACAACTAATCACAAAACCCATACAAAAACTATTAAATGAAAAATATTTAAAGCTTTGACAGAATGTATCTTCTATAGCAGTCCACCAGATTTACTCAACGAAATTGTAGATCAAGGATTTTAATTTTTTAAGAATGTCTCAAATTCCAACTAAAAATTGAAAGTCAACAAGAAAAGACAGGCAAGACTTATTCAACTGTCTAGAATCAAACAATCCCTGGATGATATTTGGGTCTTTGAATGTATAATCTCAATTCAAAGCTATTTTCTATGCCTTTAAATGTGGTTATACATTTAAATTCCTACTTATGATCAATTTGTTTCAGCTTATTCCGATTTTTATTGGCTGGGCTGTATTTTCCTTAAAGCTGTGAGCTTGTTATTTGTCTGTGATAAGTGTGAACTTGCACAACATGGATAGAAATAAAATTTCTTCAAATGAATCAGATAAGCTCCTTATCTCGGCACCTAGCTTATAGCAATTCTGTATATCCTTTGCCAGTGTAACCTTTCTCTAATGGCTGTCAAGGGAAATGGAAAAGGCACTCAAACAGTTTTCAGCACGCATGGGAGAGGGGTGGGGTGCTGGTGTGGGTGTGGGTGTGGGTGTGGGTGTGGGTGTCGCGGTAGCGTTTTCTGGTTCAGCCTGTGTGGACTCTCTTGAAATAAAATTAGTATTTTCTGCTTGTTTCCAACTGGTGCAGAATTTTTTCAATGTTAATTGTCCTATTCATTTTGATGTGTCGTTCACTGTTATGCTCCACTTTAATCTCTGTGACGTGTATTCTGCTGCAATTTCAATATTTTAACAGTTCTCTTTCCTTTCATTTTGCTTCACTTTTTGGATTACTTGATTATAATAATAGATGTATTGCTTTTGTTATTTATGGGGCGGACACAATATAATTTGGGTTTAGCTTGGATCTACCATATACTACTGTACATTTTGACAGATTAATAAAATTCTATTTTCCTTTAAAAATATTTAAAAAAAAAATCCCTGGATGGTACAGTAAGAAATATCAGTCACTACCTCATAACAATCTGCACAAATAAGTCTGGCCGGAAATGAAAACTTTTTTCTGCGTTGTTGCTGGTCTGCATCGCCATTGTAACGGGTTCTGCAGTCTTTTATCTAACACATCAAGTATAAATATGATTTTGGCACAAAATTAGATAAAGTTATGTAAGAGCGTGAGAATAAAGTATGAAGCAAGTCATTCATCTTAACAGTTTAAGACCGCTTAAGTTGTTGTCATCACATAACTATGTGATCAAGTTCATTTTGATTTGCAATGTTCAAGATAGATGTTAAATGCAAAACCAAAATACAACCAAAAAAACAAAAATAAACGCACACATTCACCTCTTTGCAACATACACTTTATAAGCAGAAAAAGAAGAAATAAGCTTCAGATTCTTCTTTCAAGTGGTATACCCAACATATCCTTGTATGAGTTCCTATTAATCTATCAATGCCAACGGGTCCATTAAAGTCACCATGAAAATGGAAAACTTAGGATGATTTGTCTGGCTCAGTGAATGTTAACTGAGGCTTGTTTCAAAATGATGTATATTTCATACTTGCAGGAAATATTATCTTTGTTGAAAAATAAGTTTGGAAGCGAGACTTCGAGATTAGAAAAATAAGAATGTCCCAAACGCTTGTCATCAAAATAATATTAGAATTTGAAGAGATGGAGTAATCTACACTATTATGAAGAGAGCATGGCAGTTCGTTGGTAACAAGGTAGTATAAAACATTAGTTTTATCAGCACTACCTATCATCTTACCTAAAGTTTGGTATAAAAAATTACGATGAGAAGAAAAACAGATGACTGTAACATCTTTTGTCAACTTTAAAAGATAGTAAATTATATGTTAACATAAGCACAAAAAATATCCTTCAATAGTAAATATAATACATGAAATATTGTTCGGCCAGCAGCTGTATATTTCTTACATTATCCACCCAAATATCAACTGAGTGAACAATTTTAGTGCGGAGTAAAATGGTTGCAGTAATCTAGTCATATGATCTGATATCCCATCATAAATAATCCGATGTGTTTCAATTGTTTGGAGTAATAAATAATTTGAAATACTCTGTTGAGCCAAAACAACTATAGACTTATTTTCTTTTTAAGTCTCACATTCATATTTTCTCTGTGATTGATTTAGTAGTAAGCATGTGCCTCCATTTATTCAGATGTCAAAATAAGAAACTTGGTTGGATTGCCTCCACAATATAAGATGTCTGATTTGTCCTTTAGATTTTAAACTTCTAATTTTCCAGTTTTATATACATACATCTCCCAGTCCTAATCACGAGTGGTAAGGTTGTGACATTGCTCACACCATACCTTTTTCTTTAGCATAAGAGCTTCGACCTCCATTCTTCCTATAGACAGCCATTACTGTAGAACTATCGTGGAGACAGCAAGTGTCAAGCTTTAGTTGCCTAAGGAGTTGAGTATTTGGCTCATCATTACCTATCTTCTCCTTCATGCTCTCCTTACTTCAGCAAAGGAATTTTAAACCGTATGGAAGATTTCCTTCAGAATAATCAAATACCCCCTTTTTTAGCCAAACCCCAAACTTCGTCTAGATTGGAGTTGAGACTTTAAAGAAATCAATTACCTGTTTGTAGCCAATATTTTTTATGCTTTCATTCATCACCTGAACAACTCCATTTAGATTCATAGAACAAATTCATTTCCTGCCAATATTCAATTAAAAAGTTATATTCAATAAAGTGTTGTTCCATTGTTGAACATTTCTAATTTTAAATCTAATATCAAAATATTGGGCTATATTTTCTAGATCAGAATATATTTCTTAGACGAGTTAGATTTTCATTGTAATTTCATAGAAGAGGTGGGTTCATGCAATATTTAGTTCCATAAAATTAATAAGTCAAACAATGACAATAAAATACTCGAGTTTCTCAAGTTTCTAAGAATTATAATTTCATACATAATCAAAGAGTCATATTATAGTTCCTGTCAGATATCTGGATTTCCCATGTCTCATCACAATTAAGAATGATTGAATCACACACAATTAATTTCATTAAGCTTGTTGAGTGATTCGGAAGTATTGACCTTCATATATGGCATAAAAAGTAAATTCATGGCAAGCGCTCATGAAGGTCATGAAAGCTCCTCAATCATCAACACTTCATGGCATGCCACAAACCAAACTTCGGACAATCACTCAGAAGATCACTCAGCCTCCATGAAAAAAAGGTAATTTGGGATAAAATATATTCTCTTGCATTTCTTGTTGAATTATAGGATATTAATACACAGATCCGAAATAGTGAAAGGTTATACAATATGAACTAATTAAATTACACAGACTATTCCTTCTTTCAAAATCAATGGCAATGGCTGTATATAATTTCTGCAATATATATGGAAGAAATTAATTTTCAAAATAAGGAAAAACGGGTGCAAATCTACCATCGAATCCACACAATGAAAGAGGCGGACATCTGGGCATGTGGAGCAATGCAGATCGAATGTTGATTGTTGGAAGCAGCAGGGGAGATAAAGCTAGAAAGTTAATTACGAGAAATGTAGCAACAAGATCTTGCAAGAAGAATTTGAATTAAGATGGTCTCCCAAATTTACTAGCATTAAATATAAACTAGCTCAATCTAGAACTAAACTTTGTTTCCATTTGTACAAGCGCAGCAATGTTAGCTATTAAACTTTGTTTCCATTTGTACAAGCGCAGCAATGTTAGCTATTTACATATGAATTCCTTTGATGAATGTTTTATTTATCTTAACCAAAAGCACTTTCGGGCGGGGCTTCCCCATTCATTTCCCTTAATTTAAAAAAAAAAAAAAAGCTACCCTATCCAAAATTAAGTATTATCACATGTTACGTGAAACCATGATTTTAAAAAGAAAAGATAACACTAGTGTCTCCTGCATATAAAGGACAGATTTCAAATTTTCATAAAAAGCCATATTCAATAAAATTTAAAATTTCATTGGCAATCAAGAATGTACATGACAGTTTATGCAAGTCGCATTGGCCTTAGTGGTTGAGAGCGCTGTCCTTCGATCAATAGATACTGGGTTCAAGGCATTGCATATGTGAGGTGTATGTGTTTGGGTGTGTATGTGTGGGAAAAAAAAAAGAATGCACCTGATAATAGCCCCAGATGCTCAAGTGGCACCTTAGAAGTAATTTACTTTGTGAGAATCTCCCTTTCAATTGTATCTAAATAAAAATTTATTATTTACTCTTCACAACTCAAGTAGTACATAAAAGGTTTCCAGCACAAATAAACGACAAACTCTGAACTTTCACAACAAACCATATTCAATAAAATCTCTAGTTTCCTTCACAGTCATGATTGTACCTGACCATTTAACTCTAGATACTCAAATGACACCTTATATGTGATTCCCTTCATGAATTTTTTCCTTTCAAGTATATCTAACCTTGTCGAATTTTTTAAATTAGAATATTTTAAATTTTTAATATGCAAAATATGGCATAAATAAATTTGCAATTTGAACCTTAGAAGTAATTTACTTTGTGAGAATCTCCCTTTCAACTATATCTAAACAAAAATTTATTATATGCTCTTCACAACTCAAGTAGTACATAAGAAGTTTCCAGCACAAATAAACGACAAACTCTGAACTTTCACAACAAACCATATTCAATAAAATCTCTAGTCTCCTTGACAGACATGATTGTACCTGACCATTTAACTCTAGATACTCAAATGGCAACTTATATATGTGATTCCCTTCATGAATTTTTTACTTTCAACTATATCTAACCTTGTTGAATTTCTAAAATTAGAATATCTTAAAAATTTAATATGCAAAAAATGGCATAAATAAATTTGCAATATCAACGGTCACCATGATACGCAGCAAAAAGTGACAAAATGTAATTTGTACACGTGGCATGCAGATCATTTTTCCAGATTTTCAAATTTTTTATGTAGATAATAAATTGATTTTTCTTGATACTTCTTTAATAAATTATATATTAATAATAAGTTTCTATATTTTTAAGTGGTTCATTAATATATTTTATAATCATAAAGTAGTGCCAAAATTAATGATGTGATACAAATAAGTTATTAGAGAATTTTTTAGTAGATTAAAATTATGATAACTGATTTTTAATAAACTTTAAGTCATTTTCAATTAAAAAAATGAATTAATAAAATTTGATTCTAATTTGCAGACATGTTGCACAAATTTAATATGAATTTTTAACTTAAGAATATGGCATATATTTATACATGTTATGCAATAAATTTTTACCTTTATTTAATTTACAGATTTAGAACAAAACATTTTGTTCAAGATAGACAGTCATATCCACTTGCTATAAAAGTAAAATGTGTTGCCGACTATTTTACTCTTTTTTCTATTCAACAATTTGCTATAAAAGAAAAATATGTTGTCGACAATTTTACTATCTTTTTTCTATTCAACAATTTGACTCAAGATAGTTGGTAGCAAATGAAATTATGTTAGGGTTTTTAGTTTTCTAATATTCTTAACTTTCATCATATTCTTATCAACACATATTATAAATATTTATTCACAAAGTTTAACAATAAATTTATTTAATGACAAATAATTCTTCAGCATAATTATTTCATAATATATTAATAACAAATAATATTAAATTTGAAATTACTCTAAGTTCAAGCAACCATCTTTTCTATCACAATGAAAGTCTAAAATGTTGGAGAAAATATTGATATTCTAAATTTAAAATGTCACATGAAATAAAAATAAAGGAATTATAATACATTGCAATGAATATGAAGTAGATTAAAAAGGAAATACAACAAAAAAATAATAATATAATATTTGCAAACTATAATATATTAGTGTCAACAATGTCTCTTTGGAATTACTGCATTTATCCCTAATATATAATGATTAGGTGCACGAACTAGCCAATCTTGAATATGATGATGTGATTATTCATCATTCTCTACTTAAGATTATTATGGCCAAGACATCTAATCACTCTATGACATGAACTATAATTGTTGAAAGGGGATTGGAGAAGACATCCAAAACTAACCTGTGTAGAGGAATCCAACTGGCATTGTCGGTCACCATATATAATGATGGTAAGCCATAATATTGTGATGATGTGAATAGCATCTACCGTTGCAGTAGATGAGCTATCTCAAAACCGCTCCAGTGAGAACAAACAGAAGCTACAACGACACGTATAGTGTATTAGTAAACTCAAGTGCAGCTTGCGATGCACCTAAACTGGGGAAAATCAAAAGATCTAGATCAACATAAACAGATAGTATGGCACCAACAACTACGGAATGACTTGATGTGACTAATGCAGAGGAGTCTGTTCTCATGTAATATTTACCATAACAATCTTCTATGATGTGCATCTTTCGACAAACATCTCTATATAAGATCTCAAACATGTTTATTGTTTAATGTGCAAGATTGACATCATCTCTCCCAAATATTGCTTGAAATAACTCTGCTTCTAAGAAGTGATGACGTAATAAAAACGAAATCATTAGTAATAGTCCATTTTTATTATAATTATTTACATATCGATATTCCCTCCTTAGATGCTCTCAGAAATGGTTGGAACATGAGTTGGAGCTTGAAATAAATGCATAGAAACTAAGATCTATGCTAACATAAGTATTGTCAATGTGCTTGATCCCAAAAATGAATACTCGTCATATGTTTGGTGGTAGTCTACCTAATCCAAACATGTCTTCCCCCTATCATCCACTCATATGAAATCAACTTCTACTAGCAAGATGTTGATCTACTGGATTTCATCAAATTGCTTCGATCCATCAGCTAATCACACAACTTTGTCATATGTTATGTCCAGCAATGCATGAATCAGCTACTAAAACTAATAATATCTCACGATTTTAAGGCCCCAATACAACATTAAACACAAATAAATATAATATATATACGCATAGAGCTGTTAAATAAGCATAAAAGATATGTACTCAAAAGTCTGCACAAGATACCAAAACTATTAAATGCAAAGTTGTTTAAATCAAATCTGATTGCTCGCACTAGTGTTACTTACCCTTCATGAAAGTCAACAACTTCAGGTAAACAACAACTCGTTTAACAAAATAATCAAAGTTAAAATAAGATTGTGTAGACATAAGAGAAATAATATATATAGTCATATATAACTCATGTACATGTCCATAACACATGTCACAACATACTCTAATCAGATAAAATATGTAAAAGAAAAAACATGTCACGCAGAGATTCGTGACTATTATATAAAACATGTATTTCATTCAATCATGTGTAAACATAAACATGTTCATAAAAGTCATCAATCTAATCATGAGAACGTCGCTTATAATTATATATGCCTCAATTATTTTCATGTCATGTCATTTCATTGACTAGTCAA